ATACCTTTATCTTGGTGCTTCGTAGTTGCATCTACAATGTTTAGAAATAAAACATGCAGGACCAAAGCACTCTGCTCTGGGGTCTCCGCTGGCTGCACCACCCTGCCATTTGTAAGCAGCTTGGGGTTTACCTCGGGGGAAGCTGCAGGAGGCTGCTGACCCCTTGCTGCAGCCAGCTGCTTTGCACAGCTGCACACAACAGAGCAAATTGCTGGAGGCCAGCAGAAGAGAGCTGTGCTTCTGCCAATATGATAGAACTGGTTTTGATGTAAAAAAAAATTAAAACAAAAAATCATCCGGAGGCCAGTACATCCCCTACTGTGTGTCTCACGTACCGAGACAAGCAATGTTTGAGACCAGGCTATTGCCTGCACTAGAGAGCACATCTGCATCTAGAGACCCAACGCTTCAGCACAGGTCGCTGGGTCCTTCACACAGGGATGCTCGACCCAAGTAGTAACCATTAACTGCTTTAGCTCACAATCACTCAGCTGCACCCTTCCTTCACCTCTGAATTAGGACAACACACTGCCTGCCATTTTGTCTAACCTGACCTCCCCACCTCTGCCACCCATCTCTCACTGGCTGCACTAACAAAGAGCTAGTTTCTTGCTTACCCTGCAGTGCCCTTCCCACCTTGTTCATGTCACCCCCCAGAGACCCCTAAAGATGCTGCTGACGTGTCCCTTTCCCAGGCTCAGAAGCTTCCCTTCCTGAGCCTCCGCTTTTCTTACTCATTTCTCTTCCATCTCTCCAAGTGCCAGTACCTTCTCTTGCTTGAGGTGAATCTTAATTCCCAAGGCAGCCAACAGGTTCTCCTAACTTTTACAATCAGAATCACAATTTTTATTTTGCTTCTTTTTGTTGGGATTTTTTGGGGGGAGCTGGTAGGAAGAGGTTTGAAGAACAGACTCTTATTGCACATCTATCTCTTTTTCTCCAAGCACACTAATAATCATGCAACTAGTGAGTTCCAACCAGCACCAGTAATACTTAAAGAATAAGAAACTGGATTCAGTTTTAAGGTTTAAACAAGCATTTATTTTCCAGGACATCCTAAAGATCAGATGTCCTCTACCTCCCAGGTACTAAGAGGTAGCAAGACACAAACAGACCGTGATCTTTTTCAGAGCCTATATTTCATTTAATCCCAAATTCAAAGACACCTTGTACTTTAAAAACAGATCCCGGTAGAAGTCATCCGACTGGAAACAATCATGTATGTTTATTTTGTCACCAGTTCAACCCCATATGGTTTTCTCATTTCTAAAATTCTGCTGTGTCCTGCCAAAAATCACTTGCAAGTATCTTATGACAGTCAAATGGGAACATAAGCACTGATAACAGTGAAACACCAGGACAGCTTTGCTGAGGTTGGAATGCACTGCAAACACCCCACTTGTCCTAGAAGTCAGACTCTTGTACTGCCCCCCTGCACCCCACGCTAGTCGTCTCTATCAAATCTGATCAAGTAAATACTCTATTGTAGTCAGCTCTCACTCTCCAGCCAGCATCAGCAACTTGTCCCCAATAACTTAGGCCAAAAACTTAGCTTTAAAACATAGACCCTTCTTCCTACGGGATGTAGACTTTTTGTCAAAACCATTAAAAATTGGGTTTCTCAGCAGCAGAGAGAGAATGAGGAGAGTAGAATGTGTTTCAACAAGAACAAATGTTCGAGTCCAAAAGAAGCAGACCTTGGCACAAACCATCACAATTGAAGGCAAGGAATCCCACTCATTCTGCTCCAACTTACCTTAATAATTACCTTAACATGTTTCAGAAAGAGAAGCTAGCTTGTTAAAGAGTTCTCATCAATTTATACAGAAACAAGTGTTTTGAACACATACTAAATCTGCAAACTCACTGATCTTTCTTAGGGAAGTCTGCTCCTTCACCATCACCATTCCCAAAACAAAAAGATCCAAGGATCTGGGTATTTCTAGGTTCTCAATACAACTCTGCCATAGTGGCGCAACAGAGCTCTGCTTGTTCAAATTTCCAGCTTGCACCAGTTATAGTAGACGTTCATCTATGTAGTCGAGTAAGACTGTTTTCAGACTCTTTAGATACCTCTGGATGATGAAGTGGGGAAAAGAACCCTCCCACCAGTTGACTGTAGACAGCAACTGGATACAAAACACAATTAGAAAAATTCAAGACAACAGTGATGCTCTTAGAACAGCCCCAAAGTGCTCCCTTATAGCAAAAATATTGGAACTGTGCTAGAAATCAATCACACTATCATTTGTCCGTTACCTTAATTATGAAGGAGGTAATGGGAAGAAAAGTTGGGACTAGTGAAGGCAGGCAAAGCCTAAAGGTAAAGAAGCAAATTACAGTACTACCAGATTCATAGGATGGTGCTGGTGGGGAAGGAGAAAAAAAAAAAAAAAAAAAAAGTAAAACATAGATTTCAATATAACGAAGAAATACTTTTGCAGTAGGCTTTTCTCCCCCAGGAAAGGAAAATTTAACTTACAACACCATTTTCCTCTTACACCAATTTCTCCTACTTTGTGACTTCTCATAACTCTCTATCCTATTAATTTAGTTTGCTAATATTTTTCCCAACCAAATGTACTCATTTGCATAGTACACACTTCAGAGTATTTTTTTTCCAGACTTAACTACAGCAACTTACCTATTAATCATTTTAAATTTCAAAACAGCATTTTGAAGTTAAAATTTTATTTTGGGCTTCTCTTAGAACTGCTGTGATCAACTTACCTGGCAATCCCTGGAATCTTACCGCTAACATTAGGGCTACCAGAATTGTGCTTTCCTTCTTCAACCACACAGCTTCAATTTGTGTGTCTTGCATAGTCCATATATATATATATATATATATTATTTTTTTTTCCCCTGAATGACTTGCTAGGGGTTTTTTGTTTGTTTGTTTGTTTGTTTTTTTTTTTGAGGACTAGAGGATTTTAATATTAAAAGAAGTACTATTTCATATTTGTTTACTTAACATTATATTCTTTCTTCACATAACTATAAATACTTAGAATGCAAGAACACCTAAGTGATAGATATTCCCATATCAAATTCCCTTCAAAAATTGACCAGGGAGAAAAAGATGGAATCTTTCTCTGAAACAAACCAAGCCCACAAATTGCCCCGAGCTCCACCGCTTTAGCAAAACACATTAATAGTGTCGATGTTATGCTTCCCTCTACTGTTTAACATAAGAAGTGCAGATACCTCTTAACATACTGAAGTGTTCTTAAAAAAACAACAACATACGAACCAATCTTTAGTTGCAGGCAAAACTTAGCAAATAACCTTAATGAAAGTTCCATTTTGTTCATGAACAATTAGAGGCACTGAGCAGAAATATCCTCATTTATCTCGAGCTTGATATTACATGAAATATCAACTACATTCCAATTGTCTCATGTTGTTGTTTACAGTCTATGAAAAAGTCAACTTCAAGCAGGCAAAAAACTTCAAAGACCAAGCAATGTAACAAAGAGTAAAAAAGTCAAGAACCAAAGAATTATCATGGAAATGATATGACCAGGTGACCCGCCCAGTGGATGAGGGGAAGGCTGTGGATGTTGTCTACCTGGACTTCAACAAGGCCTTTGACGCTGTCTCTCATGGCATACGCCTTGAGAAGCTGGCGGCTCATGGCTTGGACAAGTGTACTCTTCGCTGGGTGAAAAACTGGCTGGATGGACGAGCCCAGAGGGTTGTCATGAATGGAGTTAAACCCAGTTGGCGGCAGGTCACAAGTGGTGTTCCCCAGAGCTCAGTACCGGGGCCAGTTCTGTTAAATGTCTTTATCAATGACCTGGATGAGGGGATCGAGTGCACCCTCAGCAAGTTTGTGGATGACACCAAGTTGGGAGGCAGGGTTGATCTGCTCGAGGGTAGGAAGGATCTACAGAGGGATCTGGGCAGGCTGGATCCATGGGCTGAGGCCAACTGTATGAGGTTCAACAAGGCCAAGTGCCGGGTCCTGCACTTGGGTCACAACAACCCCATGCAGCGCTACGGGCCTGGGGAAGAGTGGCTGGAAAGCTGCCCGGCAGAGAAAGACCTGGGGGTGCTGGTTGACAGCCGGCTGAACATGAGCCAGCAGAGTGCCCAGGTGGCCACGAAGGCCAACGGCATCCTGGCCTGCATCAGAAATAGCGTGGCCAGCAGGAGCAGGGAGGTGATCGTCCCCCTGTATTTGGCACTGGTGAGGCCGCACCTTGAGTACTGTGTTCAGTTTTGGGCCCCTCACTACAGGAAAGACAGCTGAGGTGCTGGAGCGTGTCCAGAGAAGGGCAACAAAGCTGGTGAGGGGCCTGGAGCACAAGTCTTATGAGGAGCGGCTGAGGGAACCGGGGTTGTTTAGCCTGGAGAAAAGGAGGCTGAGGGGAGACCTTATTGCTCTCTACAACTACCTGAAAGGAGGTTGTAGTGAGGTGGGTGCTGGTCTCTTCTGTCAGGTGGCTGGAGGTAGGACGAGAGGAAATGGCCTCAAGTTGCACCAGGGGAGGTTTAGGTTGGACATTAGGAAAAATTTCTTTACTGAAAGGGTTGTCAGGCATTGGAACAGGCTGCCCAGGGAAGTGGTTGAGTCACCATCCCTGGAGGTATTCAAAAAGTGCATAGACAAGGCACTTCAGGACATGGTTTAGTGGGCATGCTTGATGGTTGGACTCAATGATCTTAAAGGTCTTTTCCAACCTAAATGATTCTATGAAATAACTAGTCAAGTGTCTCAAAACAGTGCTATGTATTTCATATAATTGATTTTACAAAATTAACTCCACAGATACATTAAAACTGTCAAAACAGTAGTGGTCTTTATTTCCATCAGACAAGTTAACACTTCAGTTAATATGAATTTATTTCAACATTTGGGAGATATGGAAATTAATGACTAATAAAAAAGTGAAATAAACCCCCTTCCAAAAATATATTGGATAATACATATGTCTGAATTTTATACTGTCCCCCTGATAAGCCCTTTACATTATGTGACATCACATACAGTTTTGCAAGACAAAATTTATGGACTGGTTTTCAGCCTCTGATTTGTGAGCCCTCATGGTGTCTAAGAAAAGCAAGTTTATACATGCTATGCAGCAACCTAAGTACATACATTTCAAAGGGGTCTCAATTCAACTGAGGAAAAAAAAAAGAATCTGGAAAGGTCCACAAATCAAAAAAAAGGTAGAAAATACTGTATTTGAATAAACATTCAAACCTTAGTGTCCTGGAGGGAAAGTTAACATTTAGCTTAAAACCAGAAAATACATTAGTTGATATTTTTTTAATTTTAGAAACTGGGCTTTGAAATAATGCAGTTATCAGTTGTTTTCAATTAAGATTAAGTTAAAAATTGCAGACTACAGAAAAGTCTTCAAATAAGTGAAAACAAATCTCCTCCCTTTGTCATCTAATGCCAAGTATGTACCATATAAATAACATCTGTACTACAGAACTCTTCATATAGATCAGATATTTTCAACAGAAACAGGATTTCATTTTAGTGTCAAACCAGTAATTAAAATTTTAGTTCACATCTTGTTTAAAATTTTTAATATAGAGGAGAATTAGTCCTGCAAAACCAGTTAGCAGTCTGTTCCTGTTGCAAGTCATGACCACTGAAAAATTACAATCTTAAACCCCCTGCCCTCGCCAAGTTTTCTCGCAGCCTTGCCAAGAAACCCATGTAGTCACAGAAAGCTTGTAAAGTTGGGGTTTTTTTGGGGGGGGCAGGGGGACGTTAAATAAAGTGTCTCATCTAATGAGGAAAGGAAAGGCAAAAAATCAATGACTAGTTTTCACAGTAAAATGCATCAGCTTTGTAGTTTCATTTGAAACCAAGAACAAATCATGAAACGTCATGAAAATAAGATAAAAAATCTCCTAGAGTGATTACTAAATGAAGTTAAAATTACCACACTAATCAGTAAACCCCAGAAGAAAAGCAGATGCCTCATATCACAGGTCCTACATTAAACAGTATCCACTTTTTAAAATAAATCCATAAAATCTGTATGTTTGGCCACTTTGCACATTTTTCCCCTAAAAAATACAGTGTACAGAAAAAAAAATCTTTTGTTATTCCCAGTATGAATTCTGAAGTATAAGCTCAAAACCCAGAAGTTAAAGATCAGCTAAAAGGATTTTAAGTTATTTACAAATCCAGCAGGTAATACTACCATAATGGCTTCATTTCCATCCTTGTAGTGGCTCTCACTCTTATCCAGCAGCATCTGCAGTAGGAATCTCTTCAGACAGCTTCATCACTGATCATCTGTCATTTTAAGCAATTCTAAAAGAGCCCCAACAGCTCCAAAATAACCCTTTAAACAAGTCAAAAGCAAAAAAAACCCAAACAATCAAATTCCAAAATAAGACAAGCATGAACACGTAAAGTCTTTGGTTCTGTTAAGGCAATTAAAAGACCTTTCTTATAAGATCAGCCCTGCTGTGCCAAGTATTTGCTGTATCTGAATTATGATTTAATATGATCTTGTTTAGGTCCAAGAAAGGGCCTTATACCAGGAGAAGTCTTACACAGTTCTCAAAATTGTCAGAAGAGAAGAAATTACAGAACCACTATAATGATGCTGTATTGAGGCAGGGCAGTTTCCATTATGAACACATCCATCTGACAGTCACCTCAAAATTATGCTTACAAAAATTAATTCTAGTTGAGGTTTATATACCAGACCACGCAAATGAACATTGTTGGTACTAAGGTCAGAAAGCAAAAACAAGAGATGTGCAATGTTTAGCAACAAATACCCCAAGATCAGTGATCAAGTCAGGAAGTTAACAATGGGTATTCTCAAATGAATTTGTAATGAAATCATGTTTATGCAGAACTTCATTTGTGCATTCACTTCAAAGCAATGGCATTGAAATTCTCCCTTTTAGCTTCACCAAGTCAAGAACCACAAGATTTTTATACTTACAAATAAAAGTAAGTTCAACATGTATTTCCTTACCTCATGTTCCAAAAACAGAGCTTTCAGCTGTCCCTTGGACCAATAATCCATAGCATATGCTAGCACCTTCATAGAAATCATATTAATTCTGAGAAAGTTGCCAACAAATACCACCTTGTCGATGTTCTGTAAAATCAAAAAGCAGACCAGCAAAAATTATATTCAGCTACATTATTTGCCCCATTCAACATGTACTTCTGCCTCCACTATGAAGTTAAGTGGGAATTTTGGGTTACAGTTACATTCTCCAGACTCAAGAGTCAAGAAAATAATTGCAGTTACTGACTGCTAAGTAGAGATGTTGCAAGGAAAAAAAAAAAAGAAAAAAAGAAGTTTTATTCCAAAGAAAGTGAGAGGCTGATGTCACAGATGGTGACTATTTGCTTAAAAGTCCAGGACCTTCCCAACATGAACAGGATTATGTGTGTTTTGGTTTTTGTTTTTTTTTAATTGTATATGACATGGCAGCACTGAAGACATCTTTTCCCCCTGCTTATTAAATGAAGCAACTTCACAGAGATCACTATGATTATTCAGTCCAGATGGAGAACCTCTGAAGGGTATCTGAGAATAATTATGGTAGAAATAGATAATGCAAGATGCTTCTTCCCATTATCTGGACTGTGGTTCCATTTTCAAGCAGCAAGCAAAACATGGCCAAGATGATACTTAACATGTACTGCATTCCTTTGTTTCAAAGCTCACTTGAACTCAGTGTTCACACAGAAGCTTAAGATTTTTGAACAATCAGCCCTATGCTGTCAGTGAGAAAGCCACACACTATCCTTACTTGTGTGCACATCAGTGCATGTAAGCAACAGTTCTGGTGCTTAAACAATGCCCATAACTATCTTACCAAGCCCAGTTTTGCCCGTTATGCACAAAAATGCACCTGCATTTTGAATTGGTGTACCATATGATGTTCACCATACACTAGAATTGGTCTAGAAGATTCAGTAGGAGGCCAGATCCTGGAGACATAAGCTTTTACAGGAGCCTTGAAGGAGCCCTAGAAATGTATCTTCAAGAGTTCTCTGCTGAAAAGTACCAGCAAAAATCTGCATAGAGGCTAGAATTACCAAGTATTAACTCTACTAGATACATACAGCTCTATAAAGCCCAACACTTGGTTCTGCAGCAATTACTTTGCTACAGACCGCAGTTTTGTCATGTCCAGTACCATGCATATGACATACCACAGAGAACATCCTCACATGAATACTCAGTACTGGAGAGTGCTGATACGCAGACGCAATAATTCATTTATCCAGTCTCTGATGACTGAGTTACATGTCTGACTGTCCTCAAACCAAACACATCAAGACAAACTTTATTTAAACAATTCAGGTTCATAGTCATCTATAACCTTACACTCTGCAGTCACATCAGCATGCATTCATACTCATTCCTAGGAACTTATGTGGCTGAAAATAAGAACTTCTCAAATTTCAAAAGGCTGCTATTAAACATGGGCAAGAGCACTTTGCATCCTCTGACAAGGCAGTTTTGTCTCTGAAGTAATTTCTGACAAAGGATGGACAAACATGTAACTAATTTCCTGTACTGCAATACCATCAAATTGATTAGAATCTACATTTGAATTTCATCTTCATGACATTATTTTTTCTGAATATACACACGAAGCTACTGTTACCAGAAATTCAAGCAAGCAGTACCTAACACCAAGTATGAAAATTACTGAAAATTTTAAATCTAAAAATACTAGTCGTATCTACTAGAATAGCAGAGTGTATATAACATGCAAATTTCATATCAATTTTATTTTCCAACATTCCTTGACTTGACAAGGTTAAAAATTATGTTAAAGATGTAAAGTTTCCTAGATTTTTTGAACCGAACTAAAAACAGCTTTAGCAGTTTTCAGGAGTCAGACAATGAAGAAATACTACTTTTACCTCTTAAGAGAGTCTTGCTAATTTACTTTTAAATTGTTCACTGCTGAAATATTCAAAGCTGAAAGACAGAAGTCTTAAACCAATGAAGGAATGGTGATGAAATGCTTACTTAAGCTAACCAAATTACAACATCCTGGAAAAGACATGCACTCTTTCACTCTGTGGGGTCTTGCTAAATTGTTCAACTATCCTGCAGTAGAAAGCTATAGTATAGCTTCAATATAGTATATACACATATTTGCCAATATAATTGAATAGGGGAATCAATATCAAAGATGCAATAAAAAAGCCTGCATATATTTTTGCAAGAAGCCTCATTCAGATGCAACTTACATGTTCTGCTAGTAAGAAAAGTATAAACCACAGAGACTGGTTTCCTTTATGCAGTTCTGCTGTGCCTAGGACAGACTGTTTCAAATGATGTGTAGCCAAATGGTTCCAGACTATGGAATTTTTCTACCCCACTGCCAACTTTGTGCAAGCAAACTTCACTTTGAAGTTCTGCAGACAGAATATTTCATTTATTCCCCAGCCTCATTTTTTCCTGCACATATGCAAGTCATTTTCAACACAATATTAAAGCTGCAATCATTGAAAAAAACCCAAGAAAACCCCACTTATCAAAACTCATGCTTCAGGGCATAAATTGATTTTGTCAAAGAACCTAAAAGTGAGCTTCACCATAACCCTAACCTAATACACACAAACTCCACAAAAGAATATATCATATTCAACTGTTTTTTAAGCTCTTATTTAGGCATTTCATTCATCAAACTTGGTGAGTCAGAGCCCTATCTCCCAAAGGCAATTTAGGTGTCTAGATTATTTAGCAGAACGACAGCATTACTTTTTTCCCCTGAGAGCAAGCTATCTGGAGATGAGTTTACTTGCAATGATATATCATGTTTGATTTTTTTTTTTAATAGTATGTAAAGCTACTAAATGAAGTCTTCATTCTCTAAAAAGCTACAAAATAATTTAGTTCAAGTGTTGGAGAAATTCTACTTTGACATTGTCTGTGAAATGAAGAATACTTTACACATCAATCCACATTCCTCCACAAAATTCTGGGATCACGTCCAGTTTTTAAAGTAAGCTTGCCCACAAAATAAAGATGTTAGGAACTTTTTCACAACGACTCAGAAGCATTAGTTTCATTAGTAGCCTATTTCCTCCTCTGAATGCATCGCATGTGGTTCCCTGCTGCAACTCTCCATGCTTTGATAGCCCTGTACAATGCTGCTTGAACTCCATGCCACAAGGCAACACTGTAAAGAAGCTGAAAGCAGAGAGAACACTGAAAGAGAATCATCCTGACTGAGAGAGTCAAATTGCCAAAAAAAAAAGTCTGTAGCCACTTTTCACGATGAAGGGAGGTTATCAGTGGCATTTGATAGGGGCATACACTAAGACTTGTGCTGTTCAACGTATTTTCAAAGTGCTCTAGAGAGGGATATCAGCAACAAACATAACATATATTGGCATACAAAGTTATCCAGGAGAGTCAGAATAAAAAATGAACAGCATAACAATCCTGAAGAGACTTACACCCAGCAACTCACAAATAAAATGGCAGATGAAGTTTAAATTAAAAAAGTGAAATGACACAAATGGAAGGGGGAAGAGACAGACAGACTTCAGTATTCAGACACAATGATAGGCCCCAAATTAGCCACCACCACTCAAGAAAGACTGTGGAGGAACTGTGCATGGTTTCTTAAAAATATGAGCCCCATGTTCATAAAAATAAAATATTGGGAACTATTAGTAAAGGAACTCAGAACACAAAATTTATCAATATGCCATCACATAAATTCATTGTGCAACCACACTCGCAATACTGCATGAAGATCTGACCGTTCAATCTCAAAATTAGAATCATAAAGAGATAAGACAAAATGAAACAGTGGAAAAGAGACACAGAGTGTCTTCCGTAGGAGAGGAGATTAAGTATTAGGACATTCTGTCTTGGAAAGACCAAGAGGGAGATGTCATAAAGGTTTTTTAAAACCCAACCCAAAACCCACCAAAAGCACTAGTGATGAATTATTTGCTATTTCTCATAAAGCAAAAAGCTAGATAGGATCCAATAAAGGAATCAGATGGCAATTTGGTGAGTTTTTTGGGTTTGGGGTATTTTGTTGGGATTTTTGTGGGCTGTGTGGGTGTGTTGTTGATTAAAAAAATAAAAAAGGAGCACTTCCTTCTAACCACAGAATGCTGTGGAGCTAAAAACATCTATGTATTAAAAAAAAGATTAGATAAATTCATTGAGAGCAGATAAAAGATTAGTTACCACTTAATAGTAAAGGGTGCAATTTGCAGCTCAAAACAAGTGCCTAAATGTTTGGGTTTGGGTTTTTTATTTATTTACTTATTTATTTTTAAACTGCTGGAACCTGGAAAGGTGTTTGAATGGAACAATCCATCCATAGTTATCATGCCTAAAGAAAACAATGTAACAAGCAGCTGATAGGTTTGAAGCAGGATAAGGTACTATATTTTTCTTCTTTCTGATCCAATGCAAGGGATCTTATATCTATCAAAGCATTTAACCCAATATGCAATTCAAACCCATCATACTATGGAAACAAGCCAAACAAAATACTATTAAAAAAATAATCTGTCATAGTATAGTAAGATCTATTAATAACCACAAGGTAATTGAGAGTATTAATTTGGATTACAAAGGTGCTAATATCTATGTATTACAGCTTGAGAGCAACTGAACAGCTCTAGGCATCAATAGTTCAAGGAGATCTTTACAGTCAGCTCTTCTCCCTTCTTACCTACCTTTGAAGCTCAAAGTACCTTATACTTTGCATCAAAGCACACATAACACAAATCACAAGAGTTAGGACACCACATTAAATATATGCATATTTACCAGGGTCAGTTACACACCTACTATACCAGCAATTTACACTTTTGTATTCTGATAATCTTACTATGTTGTTTCTAAAGGTTTTAAGCTCATAGTAAATATGCTATCTTACCTCGTTCAATGCACACATGCGAGCAATAGAACCTATGTTGTTGGTGATGGTGACCAAAGTAGCTCTGGCCAAGTCCTCTTTACTGATGGAATCTCTCTTTTCTTTACTCATCATATGACCAAAGCTGTGTGAGGAAGATTATTCCTTTTAATATGAGTTATTTAGGAATGCTAAAAGCCCTTAGAAATTATACCATTTAATAAGTTTTGCTTGGATTTGATATCCATTGATTTGAGACAGATTTGAAATGTGAAAAGGGATCTCATTAGAAAGGCAGACCAATAAGCAAAGACACTTCTTCTAAAATAACTGTAATTTAAATGGAAGCAAACTACATCAAGCATTGCTTATACCTGTTTAAAAAAAAAAAGCAAGTTAAGTGAGAGATCTAAGGACAAACCACATGATACATTCAGAGTGACATTTCCACATGTACATAGTGCATAGTCCAGGGATTATGCACTCAGTTCAGCATGCACAGTAAGTTTCCCAAAGAACTCCTTAAAACCAGCTCAATTAACATGTACCTTGAGGCTACAGCAGACCCTTGAAGGCCAAACCGCTCATAGTCTCCTCCGTAAATATCTTTCACCAGCTTATCCACATTAGTGCTGTCTCCTTTCGCAGCCATTTCTAGTGCTTCTTCAAACGTCTCGCAGCCAGTCAGTAGGCAGCACAGGCCCAGGAACGTTCCTCCTCCAAGACTAGAAAAGCACAGTTCCTTCAGACCAGCACCTTGAACCAGCTTTTACCACAGCTCTTGACTTGTGTTTTCAACATGGTCTACACAGCTACCAACTGCATCTTGCAACTGCTCCCTTGTGAAGACACCCTAAATTGAGTTTCTATTTAACACAAATGTCATCCAGTGTGATTTTAACTGAACTACTCTTAAGTCCTTAACATTTAAATAGGAGAAACGATGCTAAAGGGTTAGCTGAGAACAAGGTCCAATCCAACAATGCAGATGCCAGTTTGCTATTTGTAGCACTCTAGCAAATTTTTCTTGTGCAAGAATAATTAGCCAACAGATCACTTAAGTCAGTGATGAAAGAATAAACAGCGATCAAAGCTAAAAATCCCTGCAGGGGCAGGCATCCAAGACAGATCCTGCCCCCCTAGCCAGTGGCAGGAAGCAGTCTGGTTGGTTCCCGTTCAAAGAAAGCCCTGAATGTCTCAGCCCTCCAAAGAGCTCTGAGCAAGGAGCAGTCACTTTAATATCTTGCACAGGTTCAAGTACAATATTTACTGACTACATAAATTTAGCAGGGAGTATTTGATTGTGCATAACAGGTTGCTAACTCATCTCATTAAAATTTACTTTAGACTCTTCAGTCTTAACAGACATGAACTTCAACTTACTAACCTCTACGTCCTTCCTCATTCTTTCTTAACCCTTGAGAAAGTTAGCTTATTTGCACTGATTGCACTCACACTGACTGGAGGCACTGTAAACAAGAGGATCGGTGAGACACCACACTTGCACTTCACAAAGAAGCACAGGAGGTCACACAGGAACACCATTCAATCAGTGCTTTCAGATTATCAGGCAAGTTTTTCAGAACACATCTAGTAGCACTACAATATATTCAGTATCTGAACAGTAGCAAGCCCTCCCTGCACACCAGCCACAAGACAGTATTGATTTCATCATCTACAACAAGTCAGCAACCCACTGCAAGTCATGTTTTTCCTTTCATAGTGGAGAGGATGATCAGAAGCACATCTACAGGTATCAAGAGCTATGCTTGAAAAACAACCAGAATTACAAGAAAACCAATACCTCTTCCATTCAACTTGTGTCATCTGTATTGTATACAGACAAATGGCTCATGGCTACCCTTGCGGCAAAGATAGGCCCTAGACAAGGCAACAGAAGACACATATGCAGTCATGTGCAGTATACAGGAGAAACTTTATTAATATGTACCATGCGCTGAAGAACAGAATGCAGCTTTGGAAGGGACTATAGCAAAACCAAAAAGCTTCTTTGGTTGTTGTTTTGGAAACAGATTTTTTTTAGGTTTCTGTTTTGGTGGTTTGTTTGGGTTTAAGGTTACAGTATTACTAAAAATGAAGGATCCCAATTTAGTTTGCATGTAAGAGGAAAAAGTGGGACAGATTTATTAGTACTTTTACTACTAGTCTGGATGGACACATTTGTAACTAAAGTGGTTTCCTATAAATAAGCACTGTTGCCACATTTACAGAGTAAACTTAAATGTGCCTTAGGGTGTTTTTTTGGTCTTGAGAACAAAATTCTGCATCTACACTACTGAACTCCTGAATTCCTAAACAGAGCACTTGCATCTAAATCTCTTACTGAACATGGGCCAGAGATCATTTCAACCCAGCTATACCCTACAAATCATTTCAGAGAGCACTGGATGACCCAGGCCGAAATCACACTGAGGACAAAATAAGAACACAGACAATCAGATTCTAGTCTTTACACACTGGCATTCCTTAATTTACCAGCATGGTCCAAAGACTAGCGCAATCAGTAAGGAAACAAGATATCCAGTGAGATTCCTCTGCCAAAATCCAGTCGTAGCAAGTAATTCTACAAAGTTTTCCTATATCCTGGACACATCCTAACTACTAAGCAAGAGCTTTTTGTTTAGCCCAAGCGTTTTTATTTCACTGCTCTGACTGTTCTGGGGGATCAAAGCAGGGGAGAGAAGATTCATTTACTAGAACAGCTTTATTTTGGTAATTCACAGCAAGAGACAGGAAGCAAGTAAGAACACCAAGAAGAGACTAAGGCAACTCTAAAGTTGAATGGATCAATGATTTCCCTGATGTAGATACTGTCTCTGAAGAAATCCTAGGATATTTCCAGCCTTGCTACTGGTGGGCTTTTAAAAGAAATGGCAAGACAAGCACAGTTTGGGGCTGCACCTACTAGTCACGCTGTCTGGTTCTATCTGTTCAATTATTAAGGAGAAAATAAAATAGAATTAAAAGAACATAGAATTAATTTTACCTGGATCCTGTGACTCTCTTATAGTTGTCCTTAGAATACACAGCTAGGATGCTGACCCCTGAGCCTATGTTAACCAGCAGCATAGGATATGGATTATCAAGGCAATAAGGCTTTTTCTGGCACTGTTCAGGATCTGTAGGATTTTCAAAATAATAGCACTCTGGTTGGCCATTGAAACCGACAGAATCAACATAAAGGAGGCCCTGAATCAAACAGTCCAATTCATCCAGTTTATGGAGTTGTAGATCAGCAATCTGGAAAACAACAAGAAATTAATAAACAAACATTTCCTAGTATAATATAACACTGAGAAGGACAAAAGGCTCCGCTGAAGCACTTTGATCACTTTACTAGTAACACATTATGCTATTTAAACAGTACAAAGACCTAAGCCTGAAGTCCGAAATGAAAAGTTTGCTATCTGCCTGACAACAGGTACCTCCCAAAACAGTGATGTGCTGTGCAGTAATGTTGTTTAGCTCCTCCGCCTTTGAGATATTCCCTGCTCTGCAAGCAGGAAACATTCCCCCCCCCCTCAGTATTCTGAAGCAGTAAATGTCTTTCCTCTCATCCCCATCCCAAGAGGAGCTGCATTCTGCAGCTTTTGGACAGTATCTGACACACGCCTGCACAGCAGCATTCCTCAGGATGCAGAGTGCTTTAACTCATCATCCAACTACATTTCCCAGCAGTTTAATGAAATATTCAATAGAAGCGTTAAGATCCAAGAAACTTCAGTTAAAGAACAAGACAGTTGAAGCCTTACAAAGTGCACATGCTTACATTAATATGCATTAACTATGCAGTGGATTAGGCTTAAAAGATTTGCATTTTTTTTTTTAGTATAAGTCACCAGTAATATGAGAGCACTATTTCTTTAAATTACCATAAGCACTTTAAAATGCCTCATGAAAAACAGGGTATACCCAATGTTGGTGAAAAACAATATAAAAACCTAAACAAAACTATTGTCAGGCCCATGCCCCCAGCAAAATGTTCATAAAAATAGAACTGTAACAGAAGGCAGAAAAACAATTATAAGAGCTTAGAAAGGACACTCCCTCTGAGATCTCACAGGTCACCCATGACTGTACTTAAACAGACGTGTCTACTTGCCATAGCATTCTGTTTACTAAAACTAGAAATCGCATCCCTTTCTCAAAATAGGATACAGTGACAATCTGTAGAAAGTCTCCTTTCCAGATGACATTGAGCTTAGACTTGTGTCAGGGAGAAAAGAGGGAGAAAAAATAGTAAACTTGTCTGTCCAAACCCTGAGGTCATTTGCATCCTCACACCTGCAAAGTAGGTCTTACTTAACTCCACTTTCTAGCAGAAAAAACAATAGGGTATTAGGAACAAAAGGGAGTTATACAGCACAGGGCTGGTTCTCAAACATTTGCATATTGCAGGATGTTTTTATAACAGCTAATGAGGAAGATTTATGAGGCTACCTACCTCCTATTTTTAATTCTGGAAGCTATATTAAGTCACTATAAAGAGGAGAGATATTTCTGTGGAACAGGCATGGTCAATAGGTTACATTCTTTTGAGCTATTTAAATCTCTCCCCTTAAGTTTTTTTCTGTACTTGTACATAGCTCTAACTTGCCTTAACTGAAAGCCATTCTACTCTTTGGGTCTGCCCTTTTGTTATACTTGCTACTCCTCAAATCCTGGAACCACAGAAAATAAATTAGACCAAAAAAACTCCAAACCAGCAGTCTCAAAGACCTCAATATAGTTCCAGTTATTCATAGGACAACAGAGACAGGTGGAGATAATTTCTTCTTATTTCAGTATTTTTTCCTGTAACTTTTGCAATCCCTTCATATTTTTTTCTTGGTTACCACATGGCTATACAAATTACAATTACAGAAATGCAGCATAAAAGACTTGAACCATTTAGCCAGCAAATAAAAAGAAAAAACACAAATCAGGAGAAAAGGTTTTTAAAGAAATGTTACAAAAATCGTAAGGCTACTTTGCAAATATCTTGGATTTCAGCAATTTCTTGCTATTAGACTGAGAGGAAAAGCTCCAATCAAGAGATATACAATACAAGGCATTAACATAATAAATGCTTCATGCACTCTTTCTCACAATAGACATTTTATGGAGCCCACTAAGTCATCACTTGTTAGAGGAATTTTTTTTTTTTTGTTAAAACCCAACTACTGTTGCACACAGCTAGTCAAAATAAGGAAAGATTCTATACTAGCCATTATCTTTCTCTAGGTTATGTGCTGTACAGTCTCAGTTTCCTCATTGTACTGTATAAGCTAGATGCAGCATGACCAAACACAATCTAATACAGATACAGCATGCACAAACATGCTATGAACCAAAAGCCTGCTATACAGACATAAGTCATTAGTAGATTTATGGCCCCTACTGTCAAAACCTCTGTTGTCCCATAAGCCAAGCACCCAGCCACAAGCTGCTTTTGTCTTATCCATGTTACACTTTTATAAATAGGTAAGCATCGGCGAGAGACCTTGCAAGACACGAGCAAGCAATACAAATCTAAGAGTATAACACTTCTGGCATCGGTGCAAACACACAAACAAAATCCTTGTTTCTACAAACTCACCAGTCAGCCCACCAATTTTGTAAGGACAGAACAAAAGAAACTAATCAAAGCTTCTTTTTCAAGCACTAAGTGTACAAATTTTATTAGGTCCAGCCCTCCACATATAAAAGACATACTAGAATTTGTTCTGCTTTTTATAGCTCTGTGTTATATTTAACAGTTGATAGACTGTAAGCAGAAAAGCCCTATTACTGCTTTCTTTCATGTCTGATATTCATAGCAGACTGAAAAACTATTTTCCTGTGTTGTTGCAGCAGTCTGGTTTTCATTTTTGGAAGGAGCAAGACTGGCATCAGTATTCCACGTCGATCTGCCTTCATTCAGAGAACCGCGAGCTCTGCAGCCACCAGACCTCTGAGGCTCCAAACAGCCCTGTGAGCCACTACTGTTCTTGTTTCTAAACACAAATTAGGGACAGTTGCAAGAAATGTAGTAATCCAGTCCTGTTCAAGAAACCATGATACAGCCAGGGTCACAATTCCCAGTCCCTTTCCCTGCATATAGAAATCTGCCTTTTTTCTATTCATTTCTTTGCTCACATACACTCAAGTAGCAAAACTGCACCACAAAACAGATGTGTCTGTAAACATCATAACTAATGTATGAGTAGGCAAACTTTTTTTTTCTGGTGCCATCACCTGACCTACCACACTCTACTTGTCCTCATCTTTCAGCTGTTCAAACCACTTTCTCCTTGCAGGAATTTAAGTTTATGTGCAAAAATGCAAAACAAAAACAGGAGCTGTGTGTAGAAGCACATTTTAATTGGACGTTTTTCCTACAACTTTTTACAAAATGCATTTGCAGATATTTTCCAGCCCTTTACAATCCCTAATGTGAGGGCAGACAGCATAATGGTCAACTTATCCTGCTCTGCTCTCCTGTAACTATATTCAGCACAGTGCCTCTCTAGAAAAGTTTTATGTCAGAAAGTTGTGCTATGAGAGGAAGAACTGCAGAACAAAGTAGCATACAGGACCCTGGAGGGAAAATTTATGATGGTTACAAGGAAACCATATGTACATGTTTTAAAAGAACAATTTTTCTGCATTATAGCCAGACTGTAGAAATTCCTCTTCATTTCAGACTGTTTATTAAAGACCAGGGGAGGCAAGGAAACAAAACACTCTGGACTTCAAGCAATTCTTCAGGACCATCAAAAGGAGGGACTCAGGACTTTAACCATGTTTACAAGCAGGTGCAACACAGCAAGGAAGTAGTGAACACTTCCCCATGACTGTTGACATCTTAGCAACAAAATCCTGAAACCCAGCTGATTTCAAGGATACACAAAAGGTCTGTTATTACTGCATACAGATGCTATTCTAAAGAGAATGAAATCCCACTTCTTACTGTACAGTTGGAGGAAGTGCGGGAAAATGGTACTGTCTGTTCAAGTTTAGGTTTGTTTTGTTTTTAAATAATATGCATAATGTCAAACAATTTTTAGCTGTATTCATGTACCAGACAGTATAAAAGGAAAAAAAAGTGGTACCAACTTGCTGCTTTGAAATACAGAAGCACAGAAGTCAAAGACTTCAGTCAACATTTGTTTCTTTACGGGACAGTAAATATTTCCACCTGTGCAAGGAAAACATGAAACAGCCCAGTCCTCTAGAAGTGAGCTGAGGGCAGCTGTGACATATATGCTGCAGGGTTGAAGCCTAATGGATCAACACTGGTGTGCAGACATCTTTCCAATGAAGCTCCAGCTCATGAAAGTTTTCACCCAATTTGAATTTTCACACTGTTACCAAGTTCTGGCGAGCACAGGAACGTCCAAAACTAGATGCAGTTACGAGCTCATCTGTCTCTTGGACTTTCAATCAGAAATACGATTTTTTTTCTGTAAGAAGCCGTTACGAACACAATGCCTTGCACGTTTTTAATTACCAATTACAGCAGCCTCATTTACTATAACACTCTGGCTTTCATATGCCTTCTGGGCATTGCTCCAGTTTTTATTTCTTATAATAGCTTATGGTCTAGCTTTTCCTTCCATCTCCCTCCCATTACCTCTCCTCCACTTTCATAAAGATATACTTTGCTTCCTTTATATTTTGATTGTCTTAACCTCAACCCCCAACCCTGTTTCTTTTTGAGCTCAGATGAGGTACTGCCACCAGCTTGTTCCACACCCTAAGGCTGAGAAATATCTACCTGCATTCAAACAAGACAAAGTCTAATGCAAATAAAGGGTAAGCCCAACATTTGCTGAGCCAGAAGAGAAGACGGACTCTGCACCAGCTTTGGGCAAAAAAAAGCACTTGTCTGGGATCCTCTGCAGAGGATCAGCCCTCTTGCCCAGCTAGCTGTAAGGATCTCTTCCTTCTCTTGACAGGGAAGAGATGCACATGGCTTCTCCTCATTCCCTCTGAAGAATCTCCTACCTTCTTGCAGTGGTGGTAACAGAAGGTACCATAGTTACTTCATCCATTCTCTGGATGTCACTTTCAACTCCAGCCCAGCACCTATGGCCTGAGCAGCAGTGTCCAGCCTCCTCAAGCAAGTGAGGTGCAACAAGAGTTTTGAGTGTCTTACACTAAGCCAGAGTTACACAGCTTACTCATCCTACAACACAGGACAGTGAGTTTATTTGTTTTAAGATAAATACAGTCTACAAGTCATCCACAGGCATTCGGTTCATACCGCAAAGTAAAGCATTAGAATCAGCTAATATCTGGCACAAGGAAATCACTCTCCAACAGCAAGCTTACTCTTAAAGCTTTTTTCTTACACATTATGGGGAACGTCAAGGCCTGACTTTAAGTTTGTGTTGGTAACAGATTTCCTTCCTTTCCTGCCCCAAATGTTCTTTATTAAGTGATTGGGTTTTGGCCCAGGCCCTGCTTCCACTGCAGCCAGCAGTAAAATTTCTATCAAGATAAATCAGGTTCTGTATTTGTCTGTTCAGAAAAGGAATACAAAAATCCCACCTTTGAGCCACTGCAATCAACAAGAATTTTGCAATAGAGCAGGTTTTAGACAAAAGTATGAATAGTCCTTTCTTCCCTCATCCTCCACGTATCCTTTACATTTGAGTTGCTTTACAAAACTGAGTGACAGCCTAAGAATTTATTCCTCATTACGTTAACAGCATAATTCTGTGCAAGTAATGTGCATGTGCTATCACGGAGGAGTCGCAGAGTATGAAGAGATTTATATTACTGGTACACACAGGTACATACTCCTTACTTTTACAGAAATGACATTACTTGAACATTTACAGAATATGTGAGGTGACAGTACATAGTTGGGAAAAGGAGGGAGGATTATCAGAATTAGGTGACAATTTCATCCATGCCTTAACACCACTGTTACTGGTCTTTATGGCTGGCTGGCTTTATTTTCAGTCATTCAGAAAGGTGTGGGGAGGAGGGAAAGCCAAACAAAAAACAAAACCAAGAAGAAACACCCTAACCTGGAAACAGTCCTTTTAGTGAATTACCTACTGATGCCCTTCAACAAACATTAAGTATAACCATATGGTTGCTAAAATTATTTCTGTGGTCTAGTTTAATGAATAGAGTCAGTTTTCCTACTTCTAGAGGAAGCATTCAGATCTTAAGAATGAATCAAATGATTTGCCAGGCTACTTATCGTTATTGCTGGCAGTCACCAAGCAGTCCATGGAGACTTCTCCAGGTCTTCTCCTATCCAACACTGTGGATCATGAGAGGGAGGTCAGATAGCTAAACCTAGCTAGCTTTGCAGATTTAGTTCCTTTCTATGGCACAGAATACAGGCTTAAGACAAACAGAGGATGCCTCACAATTTTATTTTAAAAAGCAGAGATGTCTAGATCAAAGCTATTTAACTCATTTAGGGATCAGAAGTAAGACACTGGAACAGGCAAGTAACAACAGGGTTTTTACTTGTCTATTTTAAGGAGAAAAAGCTGCTGTAATCTTAGGATTCCTTCTCTGGCATTCGAATGCTGTGTTGCAGTATGTTGGATCTTTTGTCCCAAATCTATGCAATCCTGAAAGTCCCGTAAGCATTTAGAAATGCCATGAAAGACAAATAACTTAAAAGCATGTACACAGGGAAATAAAGGGCCAGAACAAAAGCATGTTACCTATATCAGTTTCATAATTTTCCTAGAATTTAGCCAGATTTTTTGATGAAATTAACAACATTCACAAACCTACTTGAGGTTTTCCACATTGCTTCTAAGTTACAGAAACAGGAACATTTAAAGCCTCTTCCATACAAAGCATTACACAACATTGAATCCTGCAACAGCAGGATATTAGACTTGGCACATGTTCTCTACTTCTACAGGTGCATTAGAGTGATCAAATATTTGAAACAGACATTTCAATGCTTTGAGAAAGCAATCCTGAAGCTGTTGTCCAATGTCAATTTACAGTCAGCAGAACACACTGAGATAGCCAGCTGCTGTTACAGTGGCTAATGAAGTGTGACAATTTAAGTGCCAGTACACAGGACACTCAGCCCTTTGAGAGAGATTAAACAAGCAAATCTTCATGCAATGGAGAGTATTTTGCTTCTGTAGTACTCTATGGATATTACAGTTTGAGCCAAGAAATACTTGCTATAAAGGAAGGTGTGGAACTGGACAGCTGTTAGAAGATGTCCAATGCACACTTAGGTGTGAGTGCACTTCACTGATTGCTCTATGCTATAAAACACCCCAGCGAGCCTTTAAAGTGTTTTTCTTAAACTACCTACAAGTCTTGCAGCACACAGAATGTTAACTAACACTGCAGAGATGTGGGATTTCATGCCTAAGTCCACCAGTAATTTGCTATGTGACCTCATATTTTCGTACAATACCTAGCAAAACAGCCCAAACTTCAACTATGGCTTCCAGTGCTACATCAACTATATTGCAACTGAGATGATAGAGACTGGTCCCTCGCTGTAAATTGCGTATTTACGCCAGATTAAAGCCAAAGCTATGAAAAAAAATGCCTAGCTATTATAGCCATCAGGTAACTTCCAGTTCAATTCCACAGCTGTAGGAGCAAGGGACAGGAACTTCCTTATTAAGTAAGCAACTGTAGCTGCTATTACATGATGCAGGAGAGATGAATTTGGGAAGACAGACCATTCCAAAGGGATAGTTGGCCTCTTCAGAAAGTCTCAAAGTGACCTCCCATTGTCACTAGAGAATGTGACCTGAATCATCCCCTGGACACATGGAAAGATGCTCGAAAACCTGAACTGAAGCAACATTGACTAGCACTAGAATTCACCTCCTACTGTGGTGTCAACATCCTTACACAATGCGAGACAAACTAAAACTTTTGAGGACTCAATCATCAGTAGATTGTAACATGTAAGGGACTTGCAATCAGCCTAAAGGACAAGAAATCTGGTACTAGTAGTGGACTACTACAGCAATTCAGAAACTTGATAGTCCTTCATTAGACTAGCCATTTCCATGTCCAACATTTACTGAAAACAATTGCACAACAGTATAACAGCTGGAATTCACATTGATTTCTTACAGCATTCTCTTTCCCCCTTGGGATCTTGGTCATCTGGTAGGTGAGGGGTATTGACAAAAAAAAAATCCTCTTGTACTGCAGGAATGGATGCTTGAAGTTAAAAATGAAGCAGACAAAGCCAAGGACTGCAGTCAACAGCAGTTAGTAAACCAGTATGATAGCTACCTAGACTGAAGCAGAGACAGAAAAGCAACTGATGTAACCTGTCATACCCAGCAGTCATCCCTCACCCTCAAGATCAGGTCAAAAGCTACAGACAGAAGTGTCAGACCTGCCTGCCAAGTAAATCATTCACATTAATTTTAGTGGGACTGCTCCAGTACAGGCAGACTAGTCATTCTCATACAGAAAATAAATGGAGATATGCCCCAGTAGAGACACATATAAAACAGGCAACTGCCTCCCAAATGTCTATTTCTCTCTAATGCAGTTTGTACAACAGCATGCTCTGCCTCTGTTGCCACAATCAATTTTTGCAGTGCACTCTAGTGCACTCATTCGGGAGCTAGGACTATTGCTGAAGTTTATACAAACAGCAGGATCCAATACTTCAGATCTACATCAGCTTCTGGAGCTCCCCGCAGAGGTTATTTTTAAATTCTAGGGGATCTGGGACCTAGTCACCTCATGAACTGCCTTTCTTCACATGATGTACTCCCAGAATTGAAATCATAAGCTAGCTGCTATTGTCATGCTTCCATACACTGTTTCTCCCCCTGCTCCACACTTGGTCTTCCAAGACTCTTGACTTAAGTCTGCTTGAAGACTAATACAAGGGGAAGGGAACCTGAATCTAGACTCCAGCTGTATGGTTTAATTTCTGGTTTTCTAATAGATATCCAGTTTGCAAGATGAGTACCTAGTCTCAGACTTCTAGGTTGTCACAACACACCCTCAGCTGATTGAGGCATCTGATCATCACAGCCATACTCTAAAAAAAACGTTTACTGAAGACATCCTGCACAGTAATACTTCAGTAGAATACCCAACAAGTAGAATACTCTCCCCATCCCCCTCCACGTTCTCAGCAATTCCACCAATTAACAAATGTGAATTGATTCTGTTAGTCTTAACCAGTTAGGATGGACAAAAGAATGTTATTTTCTCTGCAAGTTTTAATAGGACTCCCATGATGTTTTTCCAAAGTAATTCCCACTGAACCCTTATGAACAGTTCACGTACCGTTCTAAAGTCCTCTTCAAACTTGTAAGCTCCACCTCCCGTGGCACAGAGTGTAGTGTGCAAACTGGAGAAGTTCTTTTCACTACCCATCTGTATGAACCTGTGCATGGCACAGCTGGGAAAACGGATGAAGTGCAGGTTTCCTTTGCGTCCACACATAGTCAAATTTTTCAGTTCAAGATGGACATCACGAATGCCAGTTTTACCATAGGCTGTATTGGAGGTCAAGTATTTTCTAATGCTTTTCAGGTTTTCCACCTCCTCCTGTTCCTCTTCTGCAGTAATGTCCTTAGGTTCAAAGTAGACCAGTTTAACCAATGTTCCACCGATATCCATTCCAAACCATGGAAATGCTAAGGACAAGGGGGTAGGGGAGGAAGAAAAAGTCACTGTAAATATATGTTAGCCATATCATTTAAAACATTTGCTGAATGACAATTCACTGCAGTCACAGTAGCAGCATCTGCTCCTGAAAGCTAGTTGTCACTTACGTGTCCAATTCACATGTTTGAAACATCTCTCTGAGTTAAGACTTCATAAAGCCTCGGTTAAGAAAAAGAATAAAGAAAACTCTCAACGTACTCTTCTCTGGAGAAGCAGATTTTAATAAAATGAAAATATTTTTTCCCAGGAAAACTTTTTACTCTTCAGTCAGCACCTCTTGACAGAGCACATTTACTGAATTTCACCCAGTCTGACTCCCGGCACCAATTCTTAAAATAGACTAAGGAGGGAAGGAGGAAGAAACAATCACATAGGAGAACAAGATATCTCAAGTCACATTCCCACTGTGTAATATCTAAAATCACCTTTCCAAGATGAGTCGGAATTTCCAGTCTCAAGTGTCTGCCTGAGGAGCAGCAATACATAACTCTCCCATTATGCTGGGAGTCCCCATACTTCAACCCACCAGAACTAGCAGCTCTGTTGGAACTACATCACCTGCACATATTAGCAGAAAGAATGAGCTGTTTTAAGTTCAATATTTACTATTTACTACTGACAGTCCTTTTCTTTGAGCATAGACTCCCTTTGCTGGTATATGTGTTAGTCTATCATACAACTATACAAGAAATGCCATTTGTTTCTCAGCATATATATATATATATTTGCCACAGCTGGCCTAGGTCTACCAAAGCCTTTGTTCTGTTAATAGCAAGAGAAAATCACTATGGAGAACATGCAGACAGAAGATAGTAACTGAACCAGGTTGGTCTGCCTGCTCTGCCTTCATATACGTGCGCACATTTAAAACAGTAAGCCACGTAACTTTATGAAGAACTAGGAAGTGAGAATACAAAATCTATACACAGGTACTGCAGAAGGAGGCAGCTAGTAATGTTTCTTAGAGAAATTAAATTAAAAGTACTGAGTATGTGACTAACATCTAAGATCCATTTCTAAAATAGCAGTCACAGTCACCCTTGCTTTTAGGGAGAATCAGGCAGACTTGCTAGAAATGTGATTCTACCAACTAGAGCATCCCAACATAGTGTCAATACAAACTCCAAACCATGGATGCTATATGCATTACTGATACTTCTGCCAATGAACCTAAATGTAAACAAGTTTGGGCAAAGATTTTAATAAGCATAGGAGTTACTGATCACACTGTTCTTCCTCAGGTAATCACAGCTCAGTATTGAGTTACTCAGCTTCACACTGAAAGGAGCTTAGAGTCTTTTACTTCTTACCACAAGGGTCTCACCATCATTCTTGTCTGGCTGAATAATTCAAAAGTCTAAATTTCACAGTTGTTAATACACCCCCCCAATCAATCCAGATGTTTAAGACAGTTATTTTGCTCCATTGCTGTATGCCAAATAATTGAATCATTAGTTTCTCCCCCCCTTCCCTAAGGACAAGGAAGGCATAATGTGTAAACTCCCATGAAGTAGGTTGCTTACAGTTCAGTTTTTCTAAAAGCACCTACTGTTATCTGTTGCAAAGTCTAATTTCTTTTTCCATGCCCTACAAGCTGCAAGACACAAAGACACTGAAATGAAGTCTTATTGAGATTTGGGAAGATACATCCTATGCAGATGCATGAAAGCTCCCTGAAATGGGAAGAATTTGAAACAAGCATTTTTACAATAGGCTTTATTTTAAAAAGGAAAAATATGTTACCATACACTAAGCTGTACCTCAAACACTTTTCAAAGTACAAGGTAAATATTTAAGCAAAAGTGGTCTGGTCCACACTATACAACACTACAATGCAGTGGAGCTCAGGATGCCAATCCCATTACTGATTTACACAAGTCTTTATTTACGCTACTGAGAACTTTAATTATCTGTCTCACTGGAACAGTAAGTCTCCTCCTTGGACGCATCTTAACTATGCAAATACAAAGTTATATTTTAAAAGCAGCATCGTTGAACCAACCTGTAGCTAAGTGTAAGCCAAATTCCAATATTTGACATTGAGGGCATAAAACCTGCTGCAATCTACCTGCAACAACAACAGTTGCTTTAAAGCTATAGTGTAGATTTAATCTTTAAGAGAGGGAAGAAGCATTCAATTCTCCTATCAAACACAAGCCCAACAATAGAAGTGTTAAGTACTAAGAATTGAGAGTTACTCATAAGTGACTGCATTAACATTTTGAGGAGTCTTAACTAAATCATTAACAAGGAATATGTATTGTAGAAAACTATGAAGTTATTTCAAGTCTGTATAGTTCTTGGGATAGATACACATAATGCTCACATTTGAAAAGCAAGCAGAAATGCCAAGAGACTTTTTTTTTTTTTTAGTTTATGCTCTCTGTGAATCTAAGCTCCTTCCATTTTGTTGCGAGCCAAACAGAGAGCTGCAGAAATAAAAGAACTTTGCTCCTAGAACAGCAGCAGTTTTCTTCAGCACAAATAAAGAGCACAAGATCGGTCCACAGCAACCGGTATTTCAGTTACCCAGCACAGAAGCTTAGTCTGCTTCACAGCTGTTAACACCAGCTATCTGTTGGAATCACTTGCAATAAAGATGACAACTATTTTGACTGGTTGACCATTTAGGACAAAAAACCAAGTCTCAAAGTTCCTAACAAGTCCCACTGAAATTCATATAAACTTCCATACAAATGGAGTGACAGTAGAAACACTTCTGTATTCCAGTGATTATTTTAAAAATTTATTCATTGTATCTTTTGTTACTTTCAATATGTTTCACAACAAAATGCACCACTGAAGCACCATCAGCTCTTTTCAGTATCTTTAGATAACCCACCTTAGCTGGTATCTATATACTTCAGCTTTCCTGGCATCACTGAATGTGGTGCTAATGGGAGCATGCACGCAGACTGCAAGGTGCTCCTGGGTTTTGCTGCCTCCCTGAATGCAGAGAGTAAGACCATTCAGAAGCCACCAAAATTATTAGGGTCCTCACTGCTACAACCAGGGGGTATGAAGGAAAAAAGGTATTTGTGTAGATACAGTCTCCACAGACCTGAGGGAAAAATGGGGGGAAAATTGGGGTGGGGTGGGGGGGTGGGTTTGTTTTGGGTTGTTTGGTTTTTTGTTTGTTTGTTTTAAACTGGAAGTCCAGCATTTCATTGATAACCTGAATAAATGCCCAGTTTCTCAAGTTATTAAAAGCCAGGAAAGCAAGGAGGAGAAAGTGAAATCCATCACATCCACATCTTAGGCTGGTAACAGTTATTCAAATCCACGTGATTTACTATGAAAAATGAAGACACTGTATGTCGCAGAAATGCTTTCACAGTGTAAAAAATGCACTTCTTAACTAAAATTGTCTGATAAGACTGTTATGAGCCGATTTCTCTCTTCTCAGCAGAGTCAGTATGCAATATACCTACTGGATCAATGCAGTCTATTATTGTGGAGAAAATAAAACTATTCTACAGTATTGCTACACCGCAGTAAATCATAAAAAATAACACCACTATAAAATCTAGTTCTAGGTCCCACAGAACTGATAGTGAAAGCAGCGAGATGAATCATGCATTCTTAAAAGCCTAGCATAAATCAAAAGACCCCACTTATCTTCTTAAGAAAATTAATTTTCTTTAACATAAAGTGCACCAACTACTTACTGGTTTATTATTTTGAGATAAAAATCTCCACTACTCCAAAATTTAGCTGCAAAAGCATGTGACAATGCAAACAGAAGGTATCTACAGCATTGCATAATTAGGTAATCTAATGCACACCAACAGCTGTGCTATCTGGGGGAAAGGTTCACTGGAGATATTCCATGATACATTTTACCCAGTTTCTGCACAATCTTTGAAGAGTATGAACCTACACAAGACTATTCCTGTAAGGCATATTACATTCAGAATTTAACACATTTGGTTTTTAAAAATCCTATGCTTAACATACAATATAAAGAGCAGGTGTGGAGGGTAAATATGAAATCACAACACAGACAAGATCAGGGGAAGCAAGGATGAACAGGAACTCCTAGGTCACTAAGTAATATTTCCCCCCATTAAAGGGGATAACGAAGGGTAATCTTTTTCATATGTTTAAACCACCACCACATAAGGTTAGCTGAATCTTTTTACTCTTCAACTCTTAGAAAAAGACTGTGCCTGAATCCTGCTGGTTAGAACTTTCTTCCCTCTACCTGGACCCTAGTTTTATTCATGACCAATTTGCAGCAGTTTCTTCTTTTGCCAAAACCGTTTCAGCTTATACATCTCTCTTACAAGACCTTTCCTTGTATTTCCTTGTGTATTTCCTTGAACACAGCTACAGTATCTCATTTTTTTAATCAACAATTTGCATGGTAGTATCAATACTCCAGTATCTTAGTCATAAATATCTCAGATGAAATATTTTAGGTTCAGCTGCTTTTCTTCCTGGACACACATATGACAAAATCCTATTACTTCATTTACATTTTTCATTTGCATTTAATTTGCATTGCTTGATGCTTTGATGATCTAAGAACTTCCTGTTTTAATTGTGACTGGAAGAGGGGAGAGAGAACCAAAAATAACAACAGAAAAAAAAAAAACCAAGAGTCACTCAAGATGGGACAGCATTCTCATAGCTTCTGTAAGCTGCTTTCTATTAAAAAAGCTGATAGTAGCTTACACATATTTTTCAGTTACTTCTTCCTATTTGACACAGTTATTTTGAGCAATCCAAACATGTTGTAAAATGGAAGCATTTGTTCTCCTTTGAACAAAAATAGATTATATATCTTTAAAAATTAATTATATCTGCTTAGTAATGGAAGTTTCTTCAAACTTTACAAAGCTAGACCTAAATAAATCACACACATATATCAGGCAAAGCCTTCCTGATCATTTTCATCAGCAAGGGCTTATTGAATGTCTACCGCCTCCAGACAAAATGAAAAAAAAACAAACAAAAAAACAAACCC